AGAGTAGGCGGCGGGACCTCAGACGCCCGGCGCAGCTCCAGGGCCTTTCCACGGAGACCGAGACCCGAGGTCGGGTGGAGCGGTCATGAGATCCAACCCCGCCTTCCAGGCGGCCATCGACCTGACCGCGGGGGCGCTGGGCGGCACGGCCTGCGTGCTGACCGGGCAGCCCTTCGACACGGTGAAGGTGAAGATGCAGACGTTCCCCGGCCTCTACAAGGGCTTCACCGACTGCTGCCTGCAGACCTACTCGCAAGTGGGCCTGCGCGGCTTCTACAGGGGGACCGGCCCCGCGCTCCTGGCCTACGTCGCCGAGAACTCCGTCCTCTTCATGTGCTACGGCTTCTGCCAACAGTTGGTGAAGAAAGTGGTGGGACTGGACCGGCAGGCAAAGCTGAGTGACCTGCAGACGGCCACGGCCGGTTCCATGGCGTCGGCGTTTGCGGCGCTCGCCCTGTGCCCCACCGAGCTTGTGAAGTGCCGGCTGCAGGCCATGCACGAGATGGAGAAGTCGGGCCGCATCGCCCAGAGCCACCGCACGGTCTGGTCCGTCGTGAAGAGCATCCTGAGGAAGGATGGCCCCTTGGGCTTCTACGAGGGCCTCTCCAGCACCCTCCTTCAAGAAGTACCGGGCTATTTCTTCTTTTTCGGTGGCTATGAACTGAGCCGATCGTTTTTGGCCTCCGGGAGATCGAAGGATGAGCTGGGCCCGGCCCATCTGATGTTAAGTGGCGGGGTTGCTGGGATTTGCCTTTGGCTTGTCATATACCCAGTGGATTGTATCAAATCCAGAATTCAGGTTCTTTCCATGTCTGGAAAACAGGCGGGGTTTGTCGGAACTCTTTTAAGGATTGTGGAAAGGGAGGGGATAGCAGCCTTGTATTCGGGACTGACCGCTACTTTGATCCGAGCGTTGCCTGCCAACGGGTCGCTGTTTCTGGTCTATGAGTACAGCAGGCGGAGCATGATGAGCCACCTGGAGGCATCCTGAGGGGTCCCCGGGAGCCTGCACTCGGGTGCGCACCGTTGAGGGCTATGGTTTATCTCAGGGTTCCACGGAGTACTGGACTAATGTAGGATTATTGTTTACTGCATGGGAATTTTGTTTCTGTCTTCTACCTTAGGTCTTAAACTTTATGGAAGAACCTCTGTTGTTCATCATATAATTTCTGTCCATAATTGTGTTGAAATAGAAGAGTTGCTGCTTTTGTGTTTTTGTGCGATGTACTGGGGGAGTGGGTGGCCCTAGCTACCTAGTTTGAAAGGCTAAGTATAGTTATATCACAGCTTTTGCAGTTTAGCTGGTTATGTGTTGTGAGTGAAACACAGTTTGGTTCCCTGCTTAATTTCACAGCACCCGAAAAAGGGAGTTAACTGTGTCTCATGAAGTTGGTTATAAATGATTGCTTAACTCATTCAAGAGGTAGGTTCTCTTGAAAACTGTACACTGTATTAGGCAATTAAAGTTTAAAAAAAGTTTTTGTGTGGTAATTGGAAACCAAGATACCCATCTAGATTTTTAAGAAGACAATATACTGCTGTGTGTTCCACATTCTTAAGTTTCGGATTTGGCATCTTGAATTTTTCTAAGATGCTCTACTCTTAAAATAGTGCCATCCACTTTCAAAGTGGGGTCATATTCTACATTCTTAGGTGTGGCCTAGAGCATCAGACTTTTGGGAAGTAGCATAGCCTTCATCTGTACCAATTTCCCTTCTCTCCCAAAGAGCTTCTCCTCTGTGGGACTTTAGATTGAGGAAGGGGCTGAGGGGAATGGGTTGTGCTGCTATATTTTGATGAAGACTCATGTAGATGACAACAGTGTTTAGCTTCTAGTTTCTGGGTCCTGGCCTGGGTACAATTACAGGGTGTTCTCTGGGCCCATATAGGGGTTGTTGATCCACTGTCTGCCTCCACCAGTCAGAAACCCTTCCAGGGAACAGAGTGCCAAAGCCAAGAAAGCTTTTGTTCCCTGTTTGGTGTTCAAGTAACAATACTTGTGGATGAAGTCCTCTCCTCTCAGGCAGAACTAGACAGAATTTAGTGTTGGCACTCCACAGTGAGGAATGTCAAAGCTGACCCATCCTTAAGTTTACCTTGAGGTCTATAACCCCTTGTCATGTTTATACAGTGTTGGAACCTTCTAAATTTGGTAATGACCATCAGTGAATTTTAATAACTGTGTGACTTTATAAAGCAACGAAACATAAGAAAAGTGATTTTATTAAACTATACCATATGTATGTATATATGCACAAACGAAAAAACACACATAGTTTATCTGATCCCACACACTTGGTGATGAGTACTATATGGCCCATGGTAAGAGAGTCATTCTTGCCACCACTAAAATAAGCCTTATCATTCCTTGCTGGTCCAAGATGAGCAGAGTCTTCAGTAAGAAATGTTCTTAAGTAGCTTGTAAAGCTAAAAGCAAGCAGGCTACCATAATATAAATAATGGCCCACAGCATGCGTGTGTATGACTGTCAGCAGAACATAAATCTTGTGTAAAATCTCCAGTTTCCTTTAGCTTTTGCGATCTGTGAAGCCTCTGATACTTGGGTACAGCTTGTACTATTTCAGATCTGTATTCCAGAGAGAAATATAGTAATTTGAAATATTGTATTTAAAGAAATTTGAGCGTTCTATCATTAAATTATTTACCTAAATAAAAATAGTGCCAGAGGCAAGAGGGTCAGGGAAGCAAGATGTTGACAAATGGGGGGGCCGAGAAAAGCATTTGGGGAAGGGGTGCCTGGTGTGCTCAAGAGCGGTGGCTCGTCTTCATTTGCTTTTTCTTTAAAAGAAAACCATTTTCTTACTTTACTTTTTATTTTTTTATACATTTAAGTTATAGATATTCCATATTTAAGTGGTCAGTAGCTACTTAGTTGGGCTTGATCCACACAGGCCTGGATTAAAGCAGAGGAGAGAACAGGACTGGCTTCCTACAGGAAGTGAATCTCTTCAGAGTCAGCCTGCCCAGCACCTGTGAACTTATCTCAGCCCTGTTGTAAGCAGGGCTTTACACACGTTTTTGAGTAAAGGTTTAACTAAACATCTTCAGTAGAAATAGTTTGAGGCAAGTAGGAGTGAGTGGAATTGGGGAATGGAAGCCTAACTCAGGAGAATTTTTTTCCACTCTGTTTGCTGAATTCATGGTTTGATATATATAGGTACAACTTGTACCATTTCAGATCTGTATTCCAGACAAAAATATGGTAACATAAGATATTATGTTTAAAGAAACTTGAGTGTTCTATCATTAAATTATTTACCTAAATAAAAATATTTATTTAACTCACACCACTTACAATGTACTGTATTGACCTTATATTGAGACATGAATGGTATCTGGTTTCTGTTCCCAAGGATCTTATGGTCTATATGTTTGTTTTACAGTTAGAAGAGTCATATTCTAGAAGAAAATTCAGAATCCAGCTTGTGTGTGCCTCTGTGTGTGTGCATGTGTGTGAAATCAGTGATGGACTCTCTGAACTTAAGAAACTCTTTCCCTTAATTGTGTTTTTGTATTTGTATCGTGGTTTCTTTGTATTTTTTAAATTAGTGTCATGGTAGTTTTGTATTTTTTTCAGCCTTACTGAAATATAATTGACAAGTAACATTGTGAAGTGTAAGTTGTACAGTGTGGTAACTGGATATACATATATACTGTGAAATGACACCACAATAAGGTTAGTTAACTGCTAAAGAGAAAACCACAGGCCCAAAGTGGCATCACTTGTGCTAAAGCCCATGACACCAAACCAAGATTTAATATCTTACCTAATTGCTGTTTTAACCTCTCCCAGAACATAATTTTCTTAGTCAATGAGTCTGAAATTTTCTGGTCAACACCAATGAGGTAATCTGTCATGTGGGCCCTCTTCATTTCTTCCACCCACCCCACCCCACATAGAAAGAAGCCATCTGCATAATAAAATGGCAAGGGCCATTCCCTTCCCTGCAAAAGAAGATGTCTTTGTTTAAAGAAATGTGAGTATTTTTATCATGAAATTATTTACCTAAATAAAAATATTTATTTAATTCACACCATTTACAATGCACTGTATTGACCTCTGGGCATTCAGACATAAATGATATCTGGATTCTGTTCTCAAAAATAAGTCTTTCTTTTTTTGCTAATAACTCCCATCACACCCTCCTGCCTATATAAACCTTCCATTTTGTTCACCCTCTCTGAACATTGTTCTAGTTGCTAGATGGGATGCTACCCTATTCATGAATCGCTTAATAAAGCCAGTTAGATCTTCAAATTTACTCACTTGAATTTTGGTTTTTTTTTAACATACCACATCCATCACCTCATAGTGTTACCTTTTTTACTGAGGTATAATTGACATATAACATCCACTTATTTATTACTTTGTATGGTGAGATGGTATTTACTTCTACGAGTTAAATTGCTCAAATCCATTTTACTGATGCCTCACCTTATTTTAAACTTCACTTCTACGTGGCATAATTTACCCCTCAACTTTGAAAAATCTTTTTATTTATTTATTTTTAACTTTTTTTTTTTTTAATCTATGTTT